ATATCCTTCACTTTGTTACAAATTTAGACACATTATCAGGTTTTGCAAATACAAACTGATAATGTAAATGCTTTCGTGATATAATAATGTCTGCCACTAAAATTATTCTATTTATTATCAATATTTGTACATATTATGTCTTTAACTTCCATGAGTCAAGCAAGAATTTGCTTTTTAATCTAACAATTTCGTAAAAAATTAAGATATTTTTGCATAATGAGCACTTATTTTGAAATTCCTTGAAGACTTGCCAACTCCAGTATAAGTGAATTAGGGATTAGAATACTTAAATAGGTCTTAATCAAAATTGCAACGATATACGTAATAAAAACACTTAAATATAATATCCCTCCATTCCATTTATATCCTAAAATATATATATAAATCATATATTTAAAAAATAATGTAATCCTTTTCGAAATTCATTAAACACAAACAAATTACTAGCTATTATGTAAAACTAAGAATGCTTTTTGTGGTTGATATCTGCATAGATGGAATCTTTTGCTTAAGTATATTTGGCGCGAGTGTTTCTGTCGACAGAAAGAAGTCTTAATTCTGTTCCAAATTTGATTGTAATTAAAATTCTCTATTGATAGTATACTCAAAACTGATTAAAGTAAGATTTCGCTTAATAAAGCAATGTGATCTAATGAATAAATATGTTAAAAACGCCATGAAACAAAATGCATGAGACTAAATAAATGCTTGGTATTAAGCATTATATAATATATCCAGAAACTTTATGATATGTGTCATATTTCATCGTTTTCAACATAAAATAGCATTAAATTAGATTTAAGATGTATGTATTTTTATTGTAGAATATACTTATCTGTTTCAAGCTGAAATGATATAATATTATAATAGACCTAATTCTCATATTATAATTAACTTTTTGGTTTATTTTAGAGAGGTATCTTTCTATATTAATAACTTTCAGAAGCAAAGATTTACTATTTTTGTTTATAGTTATTTTTGACTAAAAATAATTAACTACTTTGAGAAGATACAAGGATAAAAAGAAGTAAGATGTCCAATTGATGTTTTTTATAGAAGGCTCAAAAGGTAAGGTAAACTCAGGCAGTTTTGAAATATTCAGATTTCAATGTTGTTTAAAAGAGTATATCCTTGATTAAGAATAATTAATATAAAGTATTATAAAAAGGTATAGTATATAATCAGAAAAAACTAATTTAGTGAGTACCACTTCTAAAAATGGAGGGTGTTTTTATTTAACAAATTTATTTACATCTAATTTTAATGAAATAAAAATGAAAATGTTTAATAAATAATAAATGCAATAAATTTGAAAATATAATGATATTCAACAACTTAAGACTTATCTAATCCATGTATAATATGTATATAATAGTATTCTTTAAATATTAAAATAATGTGGTGCTTAAATTAAGAACTTATTGCTGTCTTTTCTTCTTCTCATTCTCTTCCTGTAATAATAATTTTTCTGGTTAAATTTTCTTAATTAAATTAATTTCACAATACTGTAAATTAACAGAAATTACCTTTTGGCTCAAGATGATAAGAAGGCGTTTGAAGATTCCAATAAAATCAAGGAACAAGTCAAAAGCATGCCCAACTGTGTCGCGGCTTCCAGCTCTGAATTTTTCAATAATAGCTTGTGTATCATAAAGGACAAAAGCACACATAACAAATAATCCTACATAAAGGTGAGCCTGCAATTCAAAACTTGATCAGTTGCTGGATTCAATTAATTATTTATGTTATTTTGGATTATGGTTTACCTGGTATATCAAAGTGCTTTGCAAGAAAATATTTGCCAAAGAGGAGAAGAACATCATATTCAAAACACTGACAATAATTCCACCCAGGAACAACCATTTTCCACGTTCAGCAAATATTGCTGATAAGCTGAATGCCACGAATACTAAAGTAGTGCCAAATAATGCAGTTGTTATTATACTTGGATTGATTTGGGCCACATGAGCTAGTAAGGGTCCTAATCCTAAACCTAAGGAACAACAAGAAGTTATAAAAAACTATAAATAATTTGATAATTGGGCTATAATGATAAATACCTGACAAGAATCCTAATCCTAACAGCATTCCTAGTCTCATATTAAAATTTTTGGCATCTGGAGAGGTCATCATCAAGCCCAAGCCTAATCCTAGGGCTCCCTAAAGCTGGCAACAATCCTGCTGAGAGCCATCCTGCAAGGAAACTGTAAGCCCCTATACTAGCTAATGATGTTGTAGCTGCCAGACACCCGTAGACGCCTTTCAGATGTTGCTGGACTGGCGCTTCCCTGGATAAATGGTAAGTAGATAATATCGTAACTGAATTTATTTTGTTGCATTATCAAGACTTAACTAAATAATATGCAGTAGATAATGATGAAAACTAAGTATTTGCAAATGCAATATATCAATATTTGTATTTGTACAAATGTACCTCAAATGTATCCTTTTCATCAGAATAGTATTCTTATATATAAACATTGTTCAGACTCAAAAATCCCATTATTAGTTTTCTATCATAGGCTTATTAAATCTAATGAAGTTGTACAATCAGGTTTCAACTTGACCCTGAGAATTCTCAGTGATAGTTCTAAAACGTTAATGGTTGAAAAGATATACGTTAAAAGAAAAATATACCAAAAATGATTAAGTAATTGTAAACAGCCATTTGTAGTCCTTGAATTTAATAGAACTTAAGGGAGTTTCTCATAAGTCTGACAGCCAGCCAAAGGCTCCAAAAATTATATTTTAAAAAGTGCTGATTACACCTGGTTGTTTCATTATATCTAGTCGCAATTAACACTAATTAACTAATCCATACTTACAGTTTATTGTTGAATGTATTTATAAAAGATGTCAAAGTCACCATTTTGATGTTACAATAAATTTAAATCGCGTTTAATTTACACTTGATATTCTTTAAAAACATATAACTTTTATTCGATCTTCCAATGATACCGTTTACTAATCTGATAATTTACGATGACAAGCATTTGTATTTACGTTTTTACTTATGCATCGCATACGTGTATAATTTTGATTGGTTTTTGTTCGATTTATGTTGGCACGCTTGGACGATAGCGCGCATGGAATAATTGAATTGCAACATTTCTTTAACTATTACGGCATGCATGATTTCGTTCGGACTTTGGAGTTTCGAGAAAAATCGATCTGTATTCTTAATTATGCATATTTTCAATAAAAAAATATAAATATATTTATAAATTTTATATATAGATATATATGAAGTAATTAAGCAGAAACTTCATTGCATTAAATGCACTTTTACCACTTTTTAATTTTAACGTTTCGACATTTGATTTGTGTCATCATCATTCAGCACTATCTTCAGTTCGATTTGAATAAATGGAAGATCGTTGCTGTCAAAAAGTTCAAATAATATGATTTTTTAATTTTATAACTATTTAAATATAATTTTCAGTGTTTATATTGAAATGTTCAATTGATTTTTTTTTAATTTTGTGTTTTGTTCTTGCTGAATGATGGCACAATAAAGTGTCGAAACAATGAAGAAGTGAAAAATTATTCCATCATCATTTAATTCGACAATGGCTGCTTATGTATCAAATAGGTATATTTTAACATAAAATCAATCAGATGTATATTTATTACATGTATTCATAATTATTCAATGAAATTATAATTTTTAAGTTATTTTTAACTTGCAAACACCGCGATTGTATTGCTGCTTCTACACTATATTTAAAGTATCAAAAATCGCATTTTTTATTAATTTATTTTGTCAATCAAAACTGCAACATTTATTTTGTATCATTTAATTACGTTCTATTTTTTATAATAAAACTGTTGCAGATTATTACTGTTATCAAAAATCACTGTTATATCATATATTATATTTTCCATATATGATTGAATAATAATTAATCTCTTTAAATCATCGCATGATCTTTATTTAGAGGTCATTCTTGATAATTTTATTCGAAAAGTACATATCAAGAATTTTCCTATCAACAACACATACATGTTTTAGTATTCCATTACAAGTGAAGGCAAATACTTTATAAAATGACCAGTGCACAATTACAAAATTTTGTGAAAAATGGAAAAGTTATTATTGGAGCCGGGTTAAATTACAAGTACATATTTAAATGAATATATACAATTTATTTACTTATGCAATCACAATTGTAAAACGTTAACGTTTATTGTTTCAATGTCGAAAACCTATCAAATTATATAAATATGTATGCATGTCTATACATATTAATCTACAGCTGCAAACTATATAAAAATGCTATAATTAACTTTTGGAACAAGAACTTGAACAAAACAATGTTTTGCCAAAAAAATACATTTACCATATTTTATATTTATCACGTTAAAGTATTCTGAATCGTTTTGATATCAAAATTAGAAGTATAAGTGTGTATTCACAGATAAAGAAAGTAATTTTTGTGTGTGTATTTATGTGTGTGGATCAAAATTTAATCAAATATAAGCAAGAGTTTTTTTAATAACTTTTCTATATATTTTAATTTCAAACAAAAAACGATTAATCTAAACTTAAATAAAATAAACTAAAAAGTAAGTAATTTTTTTAAAAATAATTCATGATTAATTAATTAATTATTTTTAAATAATTTCTGATAAATATATTTAATCTTAAACCCTGGCAAAAAAATATTCCTGTAATACCCATAAATTTTATAAAAAATCTCAGTACACTATGCTGTCATAATTTTGGATACCTGTCTAGTTTTGAAATAAATTCGAAGTTTTTTTTTTCATTAAGATGAAAATGATATTGTTGTATTGATGTTTATTCGGCAAGGAAGAAAGATCATCGTTGCTTCAAGCAATTACAAGTATAATTGTTATATTAGTATTGATATTTAAATTCTAAAATCATGATAAAGGATATTGTTTTTTTTAAATTTGTTCTAATATATGTATACAATTTTTTTTTGTAGATCAGCATTACCTCCAGGAAGATCTCGTCCATCAGTTCCTGTAATTTTCACCAACCAACATCTTGCTACATAGTAGAAGGGCAAGAAATTGAGGTAAAGGATGGCTAATTTTATTTTATTTAAAATATGAAACTGAAAAATATATTATTTTACAGTTAAATCCTCATTTTAAAGATGTCAAACATGAAATTGAATTAGGAGTCATTATTGGAAAAAGATGCAAAATGTTAGCGAAAAAGAAGCAATGGATTATGTGGGAGGATACTGTCTTGGCTTAGACATGACTGCTGCTTGTTATCTGGTGAGAATTCTATCTAGGAGATTAATGTATATATTCTACTAATGGAGAATAAATGTTTTTTTTTAGTCAGAATCAATGAAACATGGGTTGCCTTGGGCCTTAAGTAAAAGTTTTGATACTTCCAATCCTGTGAGTCGATTTGTATCAACACAAGAATTGCCAAATCCTCATGATGTGCGACTTTGGTGTAAAGTCAATGGTTTGACCAGACAGGATTCGACTACTGCTGATTTAATATTTACAGTAAGATAATAGACTCCTAATTAGTAGATAATAGACTCTTAATTAGTAATAGTAAAAGATCAAAAGGAAATTAAATAATTTAGCAAAAATTATTGGGTAAAGTCGTAAAGCCTAAGATAATAGTTGTGCAATATTTAAATGCAACAAAATCTTTACCATGTACTGATGAAGCTCTATTTAGTTGGCTTCTGATTTATGACTTTGATTTTGATTCTAAATAAGTTTTATATTATTACTGATTTTATTTTTCAGATCCCCGAATTGATAAGTTATTGCTCCCAATTCATGACATTGGAACCATGCGACCTCATAATGACCGGAACCCCGCAAGGTGTTGGTTCCGTAAACAAAGGAGATATTATCGAAGGCGGCCTAGGAGATTTCCTCACGATGACATTTTACGTTAAAAAATAATTTGAATTTAAAAATTATAGCTCTTTATTCATAG